GGGGGTATAAGAGAAACCTGGCCATGCGTTCGAATTCCTGCCCGGCCACAGGTGGTGCCACTGGGAAAACTGCACCCCAGCTCTCTCACCCCTTGAAAACTCTCTTAGAGGCACCGTTAAATCAGAAGAGTGATAGAATAGGAAGAGAAAGGTGACACTCCCTCTAGGGATGCAGGAAATGAGGCGCTGGGTCTCTGCTGATCCTAATAAAGCCAATGCTGGAAAGCTGGGTGGGTGAGGCGTCTGTGGAGCCAAAGGCTGGGAGTTCGATTCCCCCACCCCACACAGGGCCTCCTCAGCAGGGGCTGGACTGGATGATCTTTCGGGTCCCTTCCTGCTTTGCTTTTCTAAGACTAAACCTTTTGCTGTTCTCACCTTGATTGGGATGCAGGCATGGTCTTCCTCGAGGTCCTTCAGGCAGATCTCCAAGTGCAGCTCTCCAGCGCCAGCAATGATGTGCTCCCCGGATTCCTCAATGATGCACTGCGGGGCAGAGGGAACACAGAGAGGCGCTCAGAGCCGGGACGGCTTCTTCCTCCTTCTAACTAACGATCAGCCTCTCCTGTCCTCTCTTTGGGGAGACAGACCTCACTAAATGTCCACTCGGGACTGAAGCTGTCGGGTCACATCCGCCTCTCCCGGCTTCGGTCTCACTCACCTGCACCATGGGGTCGGACTTGGCCAGCCGCTTCAGGCCTTCCACCAGCTTGGGCAGGTCGGCGGGGTTCTTGGCCTCCACGGCCACCCGCACGACGGGGCTGACACTGAACTTCATGACCCGCATGTTGTGGGCATGCTCGAAGGTGGTGATGGTGCCCGTCTTGACCAGGAACTGGTCGACCCCCACCAGCCCCACGATGTTCCCGCAAGGCACGTCCTCGATGGGCTCCACATAGCGCCCCATCATGAGGATGGTCCTGGGGGAGGGGAGGAAACAAACAAACCGGAGTCAGGGGGGCTTTTAAAGCAGGAAGACGGCACTCGCCGGGGGGGGGGAACAAAACAAAACCTTTTCCCAGTCCCAGAATCGACACTGCTGAAGAACCAATTAGAGAGCAAAAGTCAAATAAACCTCCGTAAGATTTCACAGAAGGCTAAAAACCTCTCCCCTGTTGCACCCACAGCCATCCGCGTGAATGCTGCTGGTGGTTTTCCTCGTATTGCGAACGCAGCTAGCTTCCAAACAACCCTAAGTATCCTTGGTTTTAATCCATTTTCCCCTGCCTCTCTTTTCGTTATGGGTGGACTCGAGAGGGAGGGGGCGCACAGTGAGGGGAACCCGACCCACCTCTGGATCGGCTTCAGGTACAGATCTTCCTTCTTGCCCGGCGTGTAGTTGGGCCCCATGATCCGGCACTTGAGGCCGGTGGAGACGACCCCGGAGAAGACCCGCCCAAAGGCATAGAAGCGGCCCTTGTCAGTGGTGGGCACCATTTTGGAGACGTACATCATCAGGGGTGCTTTGGGGTCACAGGTCTTGATTCCTGGAAGGGAGAAGCGGCATGAATGCCCTGAAGATTTATTCGAAACCTGGCTGGCGGCAGAATCCATTGCATCGGGTAAAGTGCGATCAACGGCCTGGCCCAGGAGAAAGCCCTTTTGTGAAGTGTGTACAGTGGGCTTTTTAAAGCCAGGCTGGGCCCAAAGAAAGGGAGGGTCGGGAGAAGCACCACCTACCCATGGCAGCCTCGTCATCGGGGGGCCCTTCGTAGAGCAGTTCGCAACGGTACTTCTGAGCGGTGACAGGGGAAGGCAGGTGGATGGTGATCATCTGAAGGAGGGCCTCCCCGGCGGGAAGCCAGCGTCTCATCACCGCCTGGGCCGAGGAGACAAAAGCAGGGGTTCAGGCCTCAGAAGGAAACACACCGCTATTTTGGTGCAAAGGGGGGGGGGAATTGAAACACCCCCACTTGAGCAAAACAGGAGGAACTAAGCCAAAACAAAATGAGTTCACATTCACTTCAACCACCTCACCTTCAGCAACGGCTTCCCTTCCTTATCTTTGTCCTCGCTGTCCAGCTTGATGTCCAGCTTCTCTATCAGCTTCGCGGTTTCCTCCTTCTTGAAGTTCATGATTGCGTCAAACACCTTTCATCCAAAAAAAGAGTAAGTTAATTAAGCAAGAGGCACAAACCAACCCAAGAGCAGCCACCAAGCTAGGAAGGAGGCAGACGAGAATTCCTCCAACACGTGGCCAGTCACTTGGTAAGGGGGGGGGCGGGCGCAGCCAGCCCACATGGCATCAGATCCTTGAAAACATTTCTTCAACCGCACTGCGTCAGGTCAAAGTGAAGAAATTTTGTTTCCATCATCATGCACGTAATCCAGGCGGGGCGAGGCCACCCCCCAAAAAAGTCTTTGGAGAAGTCAGGCGGGGTTGGAAAAGGAAGGGGGGCCTTACCTTGAAAATGGGGTCCAGGATCAGCTGGCAAAAGGTTCGGGGCAGTTTCTTCCCATCAGGGCCATTGGGGGATTTGCTGAATTTTCCGGTGGCTGGGTCAAAGTATCTGCGGGCAATTAAGGGAGGCAACTAAGGTCAAGTATTGAGAGATCAGACAAGGCCTGCTGCTTTGCCACCTCCCTGCAAATCATCCACCCAAAGCAAGGTTTCCTGGAAGGGGGCTGTAAAAGCGAAATGCATACGCAAAAGTCGCCAGTTTTCCTTTTTATGACTCAAAAAGGGTTGGGCAGTTTTAAACTTTCCTGGATTAAAAGCGTACAGACCCCTGAAGGAAAAGCTTGACATATTTGACTGCTCTGGTAAAGTAACTAGTTACCAGGAAGACCACTGCTTGCAACTAGTTACTTTTGCCGAGCAACCTGATGCGATGCCACGCTTCAAAATGACCAAACACAACCCAAGTTACTTTGGTTGTGGTTATCTGTCATGTTTTCTCAGTTACTTGCAAAATGTGTTTTGATATAATTCTTTAAAAACGGTGTAAAATGTTTTTAGAAATGCTTCTAAAATGTTTCAAAACATAATGTAAAAGCATTTCTAAAAACATATTCTACAGCTTTTAAAAAAGATTCTACTGAAACCTATTTTACAAGTAATTAGGTTTTAAAATTACTTTTTAAAACAAATCTTGTTGCGTTTTTAAGGGTAATAATAAGCATTTCTAAAAACCTCAAAACTGGGGGTCTGTTTCGTTTTCGTGTTCCTCTGTTAATGGGCACACCACAGATGCCACAAACCTGTCTCCCCAGAGTTTCTTCATCATGTCCTCTACTTTCTTGGCCCGGTCGGCGGGGCTCAGCTGACTTTCGCCCTTGGCGGCGAACTTGGCCACGTACATCTCGGCAAACTGCTTCAGGGTGAAGGCCCAGCCATGGAGACCAGATCCGAAACCGACAGTGCCCAGGACTGGATCAATCTAAGAGGAAACGAGAGACATTCTAGCTTTGGTATCCGCAGGGCTCTTGACATGTCGACATTTTTACTGCAATCAAGTTTTGAAACACACTTATTGCGGGGGGGAAGCATCAGGAAATCTCCTGAGTGGGGTCATGCTGGTCTGTCTCGGAAGAGAAGCTGCCTCCCACATAATGCCCATCGCCGCCGGCCTTACCATGATGTTGCCCATAGGGCCGGTCTCGCCCTCCCCGTAGGTGGAGATGATGACGTTCACGTTCTCCACAATGCGCTGGAAGGTCTGGTAAAGTTCCTCCGGCTGCAGCTGCAGCTCCAACAAGGCCCGGTCCATTTTGTTCATCATCAGGACAGGCTTGATGCGCTCGGCGATGGCCTGGCGCAGCACGGTCTCCGTCTGGACGCACACACCTGGGGGAAGGAAGGAGAGGTTGGCCTCCTCCGGCTCAGAGCCTGTTGACCGCAGAGGAAATGGCACCACCACCCCGGGTTCCCTGAGATGAGAGGCTCACCAGAAACGCAGTCCACCACCACCAAGGCGCCGTCGGTGACGCGCAAGGCAGCCGTGACCTCCGAGGAGAAATCCACGTGGCCCGGGGAGTCTATCAAGTTGATGAGGAAGCCGCAGCCATCTTTGCTCTGCTTGATGAAGGCTAAATCATTCTCTGAGAGCTCGTAGAAGAGGGAGATGGCCCTGGAAGGGAAAAAAAGGAGGACGTGGCTCTCAAAATACACTCACACGCACCCTTGACAGTCTCGGGGGTGGTGGTGGGAATGCGGGCAATCAGGCGACCGGGGAGGAAGAGACGACTTACGTGGACTTGATGGTGATACATCTCTCCTGTTCGTCTTTCCTCGTGTCAGTGAAGCGGGTCTCTCCGGCCCGGGCAGAGGCGATGATCCCGGCTTTGCAGACCAGGGAGTCTGTCAGGGTGGACTTCCCGTGGTCGACGTGGGCGATAACGGACATGTTCCGGATATTGGCCTTCTTGTCCATGATGGCCCGGATCTGGTCTACGGTGAAGTTCACCTGGAAAGGCCGCGAGCAAGGTCAAAGGTGCACTGTAATGAGGATTTTAAATCCCCAAATCTTGGGGGTGGGGCTGGGGAGAAGTGGATCACAGTTTGGGTGGTTTCCCTCCAGACCCACAGTGTGGAAGTTACGTGGTAAGGACCAGAAGCTAGGAAAGGGCCTGAAATAATCTGTTTCCACTCCTAATTAGCATTTAAGAAAGCAACCCCACTTGTCCTCAGGTCACACGCTATTGAAAACAAATACCACCATTATCCCTTGAGCTGGCTTGCTATGTTCCTCTTATTTTCAAAGCGAAAAAAGAGAGGTTTGGTTAAAGAAATAACAGAATATGGGTTTTTTTTTTTAAAAAACCCTCTGAACTTGCTTAAAAAAACAGAAGCCCAATAAACTGGCTTTGAATCAGCTTCTTGCCTTTAATGCAATTTTGTTTCCTCTTTGAGATTCCAAAATACAAAGTTATTACATGAAGTTACATTACTTGTAACTAAACTGTTCTCATCTGTGGCAAACAACCCTCTTGTTACAAAGAATTATCTTTGTAATGATGTCAAGGTGCGAACCTATTGAAGGATTGAAACCCTTGCTATTCTACCCCACAGATGGTGCTGGCTAAGGCTGATGGGAGTGGTAGTCCAACATGACACGGAGGGCCAGCCCCGGGGCCAGTGCCAATGGTATTAGCTGCCGAGGCTTTGCAAAGGGCAGGCCCCAAAATCCTATAGGGCTCAAATCCCTCGCTGGCAGAGCAAAGGACGGTGGGCTTTGTAGTCCAGCAGGCAGGCACCCCTTCCCCAGCCCCAAGACAAATCCTATGGGGAAGGGGGGCAATGCTTTTACTTCTAGCTTGCCCAGGGGGTGCACATCCCTCGTAGCTTGGCAAGGACACAGTCGCAGGGAAATTCAGAGTACCACAAAGCTCATCATCCCCAAAGACCAGCCATGGAAAGTTCCCATCAGAGTGCTAAGGAAAAAAAAACCAAAAGAATGCCCCTTCCTTGTTCTTAAATCCCATTTACTCCCTTTCTCCCAAATCC